TCTGGCTGAGCAGACAGTGCTGCTAGGGCCCTCTTCAGAACTCTGCTGCCATGGAGAGTGTTGTTTCCTATGACATTATTTTTGGTTGCCACAATGGTTGGGAGAGTCCTACTTGCGCTTGCTGAGTAGAAGCAGGGAGATGGACCCCTTGCAAAGTGAAGGAAAGAGAATTTGCTGTGGGGGACCCCAGCTTTTGAGCATTCTACTCTTCTTATAATTTATAACTATTATGCCATAACTACCAGAAAGATGTAATTATCTTCATTCAAGACTGAACTGTTAAGTATACATACAAGTTGTTTTCAAATAGTTTTAAAAACAACAGGGCATTTCCCAAGAGTTCAAGGCATGTTGTACAAGAAGTACACTTTTTGTATTCAGAAATTTACCAAGATTTGGTTTCCATTTCAAAAACTTCCCAAAGGCAGCACTGTTGAATGTAAGGGGATGGGGGCAGGCAACATTTCAGTCAATCTGCTTTGTCCTGTATGTTTTTTCACATAATCACAAGTGTATGATTATGTCACAAAATGAAAGTTAGGGGATATCTGTACTACAGTGGAATTTTCCATTGCTGCTGACTTTGAGTTGTTTCTGATACTATGTGAACTATTCTTCAACTCTGTTAAGTGCAGATGCTTAAGAGCAATGGTGGCTCATGCCTTTAATCCCAGCACTCAGGGGGCAGAGCCAGGCTGATCTCTGTGAGTTCGAGGCCAGCCTGATCTACAGAGTGAGATCCGGGACAGGCACCAAAACTACGCAGAGAAACCCTGTCTCGAAAAACCAAAACCAAACCAAACCAAAACAAAAGAACAAGGAGAAAATAGTGTTTGTCTGTACTCATGTACACTCTGTCCGGTGTAGTAAAGGCTCAAAGAACTTCCCCTTCCTCACTGCTGAAAAAGTTAGCTTTGCCTGCCTTTGTACACACAGTTCAGTGTTCCTTATCTATGTAAGTGTGCACCTTTTGGTTTCTTTCTTGAACAGGTTTCGATAGCTGCCTGGTTGCCCAGCGTAAGTCAATTATAATACACACATGCAGTTTTCATGTCTGGGTAGGAGTCAAGTCTTTGTCTTTAGAACAGTACCTTCAATGTTAGTCTTGTCTAGTGTTTGACCATTGACATTTACAGCTATTGAGAACTGATGTCCTTTTATTTCTGCTTTTAGGACAGGGTATGTATGTATGTATGCATGTATGTATGTATGTATGTATTTTTATTTAATATGTGTGGATGTTTTGCCTTCATGCATGTCTGTGCCTGGTGCCTGTGGAGGCCAGAAAAGAGTCTAGATCTTCTGGAACTAGATTTCAGACAGTTGTGAGCTACCATGTGGATGCCAACCCATCTCTCCAGTCCAAGGGCATTAATTTCATGATGTGTGATGTGTAAGTTTATGTCAGGATAGCAAAAAGGATGTTTAAATATTTGTTATTAAAGAAAGCACGTGGACTGACAAATTCTATGAATAAACCTATATAAGTAACTGATGATCAATTTGGGTCATTATTTTTCTCAGTTAGAAAAGATAGTTCTGGAGCTTCAAGCTATTTAAAGAAATCACTAAGCTGCACACTGTTTTGGAAAACCTAAACCTCCAAGCTCCAGCATAGTTTACATATAACAATAACAAAAATGTCACCTGTAACTCATTTATGTTCAGTACTATCCAAAAGCTGAGACTGTCTCAGACAGACTACACTGTCTGGCCACCTTAGCCTTGGTTCATATACCATAGCCCGAGATGAGAAGGCCATCACATCCATGGAGTCCTTTCTGTACTTGAAACTTCAAGGTATGTCTTAGAACCAGCTATTACAATCCATTTACATGATACACAGTTACAAGGATGAAATTTCTAGAAGCTTAAAAGAAAACCATGCCTTGGCTCAGCCATCTTGACACCATTTCACCCTGGCTGCTGGCTGGGAATGTTCTCAGCTGACAGTGATGAATGAAAGAAGAAAGCTCACTCCCAATTGTGTATTACCAAAATATCTTTGTTTCAAGATACCACTTTTCATTATATTTAATAAACACATCCCCACCCCCAAAGACAGCACAGAAAAGCTTGGCAAATAAAAAGAAGATTTAGAAAAATTTATAAGCTTGGCTTATACATTGCTTTATTTAGAGGATACTTCTCACACATTTTTTTTTCTTCCACCCACCAAAAGGAACATGCATAATAAATGAAACTAAGCTTGGCAGGAAATCCATCAATAAGGTTAATTTAAAATGTAGGCAGAATAGCTAATCTCCATATGGCCATCGGGGTTGTTCTTATTTCAAAACCAATGACTTTCAAACAGCCCAACGTGCCTCACTGGAAGAACTGAGAAGGAATCTCAGCCACGTGGGGAAGCACACCCCGACTCTGAGGAGACATCCTGTGAGAATTCAGTTTTAGGGTCTCTCACAGCCTAGAGTGACCTGCTCCAAACTCCAGCTCAATCACACACATGCTCCACAAGTTTGGTGAGACAAAAGCCCCCTAGCCCTCAGCTTCCTCTTCAGCAGAGTCAAGGGATGGCACACAGTGTTGCATGGAGTTACATGCTGTGTATGTCGTGGACATGGTGGATTGTTCAGAAGAAATATTTGTAGCGAGTCTTTCTCTGTCCTGCCAGCCAGCTCCCAAATAATAACACAGAGAAGTCTTATTAATTATGAAAGCTCGGCCTTAGCTTCGGCTTGTCCCACTAGCTCTTATAACTTAAATGATCCCGTTTATTTTAATCTGTGTTCTTTGGTGTGGCTTATTACCTCATCTCTCCGTACTGCTCAATGCTGCTTCCTCCCCAAAGGACTGTTGACTCTGCATTCTTCTTCTTGCCAGAGTTCTCTCTCTGCCTGGAAGTCCTACCTAGGCCTGCTGCCTAGCTCTTGGCGATTCAGCATTTTATTACACCAATCACAGCAATACATTTTTGCACAATGTACAAATACCCCACACCAAAGGTTTAGCAATTATATCTAGCATTTAAAGGTTTTCTTTAAACACTAAGTTGGTAGCAGTAGTGGTTCAACACTGGGTGAGGTGTTGCTGGAGACATCACTCGTCTTGAAAGAGGAGGTGGAGAGATAAAGCCTAGGGGAAATTGTGGGTTTTTTTTTTAAAACAGGAACAAAATTTGGTTCTCCTCAAAGCCTTTGTCTTTTCTGTGCCTAAGTCTTCCATCCAAGACTGAACTGGGAAAGATTTTGAGTCATGTTAGGAAACTGCTTCTTTCCTGTTTACTCCTTTGGTATGAATAGAAAATGGGAATCTCGGGAAATATAGGTTTTAAATGCTTTGGTAGTAAGATGCTAATATTTGTTTTCTGGTAGCTGGCAGTGGTCTATGTTACCTGGAGTTTGAGTCATCACACAGCAAATTGTATCTGAAAGTGTTAGTTGAGTCCATAGCAATCTTTTCATTACATGGAATTTGCTTAAGTTACAGAGTGAAGTAAATGCAATTATAGATTCCCAGGCATAACATAATACTATTCTTTTTTTGACTGATTTTTTAGGGACAATATTTACATAGCAAGTGCCTGTATAGATGGCGACCAATCAAGTTTTCAATGTGATCTAATCTTCTGAGGTAATGGAGTAAGACCAAGGAAGAAACCATCCCTCCTTTAAATGAGCCTTATGGGCAGCTCCTGTGCAGCCTGCACTACATATATTCACAGGCAGGAAGGGAAGGAGAGCGGTAAGGGAGGAGGGAGAAGGGTGGGGAAGGAGAAAAAGAAGAGAGGAGGAAACTATCGTCTTGGTTTTTCTCTCCTCTGTTTCCTTCTCTAAGGTCTCATTCAACTTGAGAAGTCTCAGAGTCTGTGGACGGATGACAGGGGAGTGGGGGAGAAAAAGACAGAGAGGAGAGAGATAACTGGGGGAACACAAAAGGCTTCAAGGACATATTCATGAAGGCAGTTTTTACTGCATGTCCATCATTGGCACAGGTTCCCTCCAATTAACACTGCTCTTCAAACTGATCTTAGAGCAAATACTGTCTTCCCCTTATTATTCTTTAAGATGTAAAGAATAATATTCAGATGAGTTTTCCCTTTAAGCATGTTTGTGTTTAGTGACTTAGTGTGTGGTAATCTCCAAAAGCTATAGAGGACCATATTGAACCAGTCGGAATTTACCTGCCCAGCATGCCCACCCCAACCTGCTAAAATCCTACTCAATATTTTGACTCCGTACTTAACTACAGAGTTCAAGGCTTTGAGTTTTTAGTTCAGACTGTACCACTTAGCTATGTTACCTCAAACAAGCTAATTACCATCTCTAAGCATTAATTTCCTAATCCTAAAAATGAAGAGAATTAAAGTAACGACAGTTAAATTAGAAAAAGAAATAAACCAATCTAAATTGTAAAGAAAGAACTGAAATTATCCCTGTTCCTAAGCAGTGATTTTATCTGTACACATCTGAAAGTTTCTACAAAAAGGGTGTTAGAATTAACTAGCTAATTCATCAAAACTGCAATATACAAAATCACACAGACATCAGCTGCCTTTCTGGGCAATGACTATGAGTAACCTTGAAGCCCAATTAACAGAGCATAAAATACTAGGCCAGCAAAATGGCCCAGCTGGTACAAGTGCTTGCTACACAACCCAATGACCTGAGTTTAAGCCCTGGAATCTACATTAAAAAAATCTAGAGGCAGTGGTGCAGATTTACAATTTTAGCCCTCACACTGTGAGATGAGAGGTGAAGGTGAGAATTACCCAGAAGCTCACGGGACATCTAGCTTGGCAGAAACAAGAGACACCTTGCCTCAAGGTGGAAGGAGAGAACCTCCATACATACATGGAGGCACACATATACCCACCCTCTCACCCTCTTATCACACACACACACACACACACACACGCACGCACGCACGCACGCACGCACGCACGCACGCACGAGAGAGAGCGCAAAGGTAACCTACAGAATGGAAGGAAATATATACTATATCTTATGAGGGATTAACCATAAATATTTTAAGAACTAATAGAACAACAAAAGTTCAGATAACTATTAGATAATGGACAAAGAACTTGGGTAAACATTTTTACAAACATAGCATACATGTGCCCAACATATTAGATATAGTCAACATTGTAAATCATATGACAAGTGCAAACCAAACCCACAATGAACTTTTACTATACACCTTTTGGACAAAGAGTATAAAGAAAATGGACAGAATTTTCATTGAGGCTGATTTACCCTTCTACTTTTTATTGCTAGCATTTTACTATACACATGCTTTGTGACTTATGCTAGTATAGAGGTATATACCAAGTTAGTTGTTAATCCTGGGATTTGCCAGAGAAAAACCAGTTCCATTTGAGCCAAATTTGAAGCAATCTTTAATTTGATTCTGACCAAGATGCACTTTGGTTGGGACCACTCCCTGGAATTCCCAGCTGAGTGGCCTTGAGACATGTTTTACAAGGACTCATAAAAACAAACCCATACTGCCACCATTTTCTTCCCATGAGGCCTTGTTATTTTCCAAGAACTACAACTCCCAGCATTCTAGGAAGTTACTTGGTCCTTGGGAGGGTTGGGCTTACAGGTTAACAAGGTCTTTCATTCCCCCCACCCTCACCCCTTGAGTTATATCCTGGGTCAAATCCTTGACTCTGTGATGGGTACTTGTTTATATGGGATCTATAACCATCAGCTTAATGGTACCAGAGAGGAATTATTTAATTATTGTATCAATGATGTAAGAGCCAACAGTAAATAGCAGAAGCAGAGGGCTAAAGGTTGTATAATGACTGACATCAGAGTTACTGTCTAGGAGGAGCCTGGAAATGGATGGGGCACCAGTAATTTATTTTATCTCAGGTCCCCTTTTCATAATATTTTTTTGAGTACAGCCAGATTATAAGCCTGAATGGTTTGTACAGAAATAACAATTTTCTCTTAAAGCCATATGATGCCTCTTTGTTCTGCATGAAGCAGGCCACATGTCCTATCATATTGTAGAACTATTTCAGTTCATGAATCTACCAAGTTGACAAATCTGTGCCCACATTCCTGGTATGTCAATTGGTATTATAAGTAGCCACTTTGTCCCTTATCCAGGGAGTTTCCTTTTGACTTAGCATTTCAGCTTGTTACGGAGCAAGGGGTGATGTACTCTCTTTTGTAACTACTTCCAACTGAAACTAGGGCACCATTGTTAGGTCCCAGGAAGGCTGAAGGGCTCATTAAAGGCTGGGTAATAGGGCATTTATCAGAAGCATCTGATTAGCTGATCCAGGTGAAGAAATGGAACAATTATATCGGCTGCAGTGGTTCACATCAGCTTTCACCAAGTCTAGAGCTCAGCAGTTTGCAGTCCACAGGTAATCCCTAGATGATGTCTGTCAGCCAAGTAGAAATCTGCAGAGACAAATATAGACAAGAAACAGAAGTTAAAATTTAGGAACTTAAAGGAAAACCGTATGTTTGGAAATTTTAGTCCCATAGCCTAGGAATTAACTAGGGGACAGGAGGAATCCCAAGATCAGGATCACACCTCAAGAACAGACAGGTGGGGAAACTTGGGTTGTACTTATCTGGAGTCCTTTGACCTGTGACAGATGGATCTAAATCTTACGATTTCCTTAGCTCCCTGAAGCCTACATGAATTTTCAGTTTACACAAGGAGATGAAATTTCTAAATATATTAGCATTTTCGTTGTACTGAAATCTATATTGAAAAAAAGCATGAACAAATTTCCTGTCCAGAGAGCTAGATATATAGATGGACAGAGATATTTTAGCCTGACAAAAGGTACTTTTAAATCTATACTTAGAAGACCACAAAAGGAAATTTAAAATCTTGAGCTTGTGACTGAATAGTAAGTAGTCAGTGCTCTATTAGCTTATTAGAACTGTATTGGTCAATGTTAAAACTTTGAACTTTTGAAATCTTACTGTAACAATAGCATAGAATGGGAAAGAGAAATCTAAAATATCTCCCATTATTTATATACCTTAAATTCTTTTTATTAATCTTTAAACTTGCAATTATATATTTTAAATCATTTTCTGAAACCCTTGGAACTTATTTAAGCTTTTACAGCCTCAGACCTTTAGATATCTTAGGACATATTCTGAAACCCTCAGCATGCACTTTGAACCTTTTTCTTTCCATCTAATCATTTGCCAGAGACATAGGTAGTTGTTACTGAGAACAGTTATTACAAAGCATGTTCCTTTAGTGAAAAGTCACACTTGAAATGTGTTTATCCTTTAATATGAAGCCTGTTAGCAAGGCAAACCTATTGGCCTTTTCTCAACAAGAGACCTAGTAGCTTTAACTAATTAATGAACTAACAAAGTGGCTGCAAGTCTTGGGGGAAGGAATTGGTTGCCTGCTGTTGTCAAGCGGACAAAGCTACAGTTAGTCTAGCTGTCAACATCATCAGAAATCTGAGAAGGATAAACTACAGCATAAAGTATAATCAAAATGGCCTATGTATCAATTAAAATGACAGAGTTCATTACCTAGATGGTCATCCCAGGATCCTGTGGTCTCCATGGCATCGGGGGCAGAGGTTTCAGGATAACATCATTCTTTGGCCACCAGGCCAAGAAGATGAGAGACTTTTCTGTGGAGGAAGAACATGGAAGTGACTGACCTTATTTTGTCCAACCAAAGTGGGACACTCAACTCTCTAGTGTCCTCCTTCTCCATAGTTTGGATCAAGTCTTGGCAGCATGCAAGGCATTGGGGTAGTCTTGTCCTGTGGTTAGTGTTACCATAACCCAGGTAGAGTTGTCATCACACCCATCATCTTGGAGACCTTGGCAGGGGGTGTCACTGCTAGGATCTAGGAGTCTCTGTCTGTCACAGTAAGTTTAAACATTTTAAAAGCAGATCTCTGACAAGTTTGAGGACTATTATCTATGAAGTATATCTGAGCTAAACAACCCTTGTTTGTTTTACTTGCCTGTGTTAGGCTATACCTTAAAAACATACACAGAAAGCTAAATAAATCTTTTTCCTATAATCAATTACACTAGTATTTAGCATGACTACAAACATAGCTCTGATCATATGAAAGCTTAATCATCTTTAACAGTTTATAATAAAAATAACCATTTTTGAATTAAAGCTCTTTTTGTATCAAGATAAGACTTTTAACTCATAAACACAGTTCATAAAGAAACTAGGAACCTACTTGATCCTTTTATAGTACACTAGTATGAAATATAATAGTTTTCATATGACAGTTTACCAAAATAGCTACAGCTTAACAATGGTAGCAAAAACAAGGATGTTAGACATCCAATGTTAAATCAGTCCCTGTTAGCCTGATTAGACCTTAGGTCAGGAGAGACCCTTTGCCAGACTGTTCAGGTTACAGTCTTGCTGCACCATGAGATAGGAATACCTCAGCCTCTAGTATTTGATGTTTATAGCTGTGACCCTAATTTTTAGTCTTTCATTTATCTATTTATCAAGATCATATATTAATAAGGACATTATAATAAAATATCTTATAAATGTCCCATAGCCTTATAAACTTAAATATTTTTAAAAGCTGTTCCTTAAAATATATCCAGTTTTTTATTTAAATTTTCTATAAAACTCTAAAATTTACTATTAAAGAAGTTTAAGATCTTTCAACTGTGGGCTCCTGCAATATCAAAATAAAGTGTCCCTTTTATTTCAAGAGTGAAGATACAGAGCACAACCACAATCTGCAGAAAGCAAAACCAAGCTCTAACAGTACAAAAAGTTTAATGTCTGTAAATGTTACCAAGTTTGGCTGCTAGCAAGGTACATTCTCGTATAAGAAGGCATGGAGGTGCAGCGTTAATATCTCATTAGACAAGCATTGTGTTTAAATCCTATCTTTTATAAACCTTGTTTTTAAGACAGGACAGGAATTGTCATACAAAAATCCTATCCCAATATAAAAGTATTTTCAGAGACCTGTTGTCTCCTTGATTGGCCTATATCAAGCGATTGCTTTTAGTTAAGATAGCAGTGAAACCATAACATTTGTCTTCTCCAACCCTAGCAAAGATGGCTTCCAGCCATGTAGCTGCCCAAAAATGGTCACAGGAAACTAGCTTACAAAAGCTTCCATGACTTAGCAAAAAAGGAGGCTTTAATAAAAAAACAAACAAACAAACAAAAACCCAAAAACAACAACAAAAAAAAACCTCATGCTACCTCCTTTTTCCAAGCATGGTCGGTCATTGTAGGGGGTTGTAGCTTAAATTTTCCTGTGTCTGACGCAGCCCCGAGGTCCACCAGCCACTTATGAAATGATCACACAGAGGCTTATATTAATTACCAACTATATGGCTTATGGCAGGCTTCTTGCCAACTAGCCCTTTCAACTTAAATTAACCCATTTCTATTAATCTATGTTTTGCCATGTGGCCATGGCGTTACTAGTCTGCTGGCATCTTGTTGCTCCTTGGGTGGCCAGCTCGAGTCTCCCCTGACTCCACCCTTCTTTTCTCCCTATCTCTGCTTGGATTTCCCTCCTGCCTCTAAGCTGTCTTGCCATAGGCCAAAACAGCTTTATTTATTAATCAATGGGAGTAACACATATTCACAGCATACAGAAAGATATCCCATAGCACTTCCCCTTTTCTATCTAATCAAAAAAGGTTATAATTTTAACATAATAAAATTACATAAAACAGTTATCAAGCAAGAATTACAGTTACAACATATAGTCTATTTGTATTTGGCAAAATTAAAGAAAATATTTTATCACCTATCCTATTTTTGTGAGTTTAAAGTTTTATATTTAATTTATCTTTTATCATAATTAAGGAAAACTATAATTATAACTATCTAGTCTTCAACTCCTTCAAAGACCCCAGAAAAATATAATATTACCTGAGTAAACAGGAAGAACATTGTAAGCAACTTCCAAAGTTCTAGAAATGATAGAGACAGCTGGCTGCCTGGACAGTCACCCAAAGTTCCTCTGCAATTTTAGGACATTCATCTTCAGCCTATAGGCCTAGAGTCTCTCAGTTACTTCTCCCAATGTCTTGTAGAATGTCTGGCAGTCTCCTCTGTAAAGCAGAAACCCAAAGAACCATTTTGCCTTGTTTGGGAAAAATTCAGTGGTCATTTTTCTATGGGTCCTGTATGTCCAGTTTATACAACATACTGTCAAGCAGTCTAGGCAAGAGCAGTTGCTTGCCCAAAGACTAACTTTTGTCATAAAGAAAACAAACTCCATAATGAGTTTCTTCAATGCCCATCATTCTCTTTGAAGTAATTGGTATTGTCAGGAGCACACATGTCTCATTGTCTAGAAAAGTCTGAGTTCTTAAAACATTTTAAATGCCATATTCTGTAGGAGTTTGAAATGTTTGAAGATTATCTACCTAATTGAAATATATGAATGTATATTTAGAAAACTTAACTAACATGACTATAAGTTTGAGTACTATACCATAGATGACTATTAATGGGTATTTCTTAATTTCATATTACATTTTTAAATGAGCTGCATAAAAATAATACCCTAAACAAGAGTAGAAATTTAGATATAGTATAACAAAATTAACTTTAAATTTGTATCAATAAACTAAAATCCATAGCAATGTAAAACATTTCAAACAAGTTGTTGCTCTTTAAAAGTAGATTCATAATCTACCCTTCCATCCTACCATATCTATATCATACATTTCTATATCATATCCCACTTTCCTCTTTTAAAAGAAGATTGACTATGACCAATAACAATTTATAACCAACCTCCTAAACAAAGATGAACATCCATAATCCATTTTTTGGGAATATGAGTATAGTGTTCTAGGCTACTTCCTGCTGACTGGGGGCACTGTAATCTTGGGGGATCCTGAGAAAATTCAAGATAATGGTCAAGTCCTGGGAAGACTGGCTATAACCTTTGTTGATAGATAACATCTGTCAAGGTTCAGGAGGTCTCCCTTGATCAAATCTGATCCATCTTAACCTGGAACAAATCCATAGCCTCTTGTTTCCTGTGGAAACAAAAGCAGAGCCTCTTTTCCAAAGCAACATATCCTTAGACCCAAATTTTGAAGTCAAGATACCTTTAAAATATATAGAGATTGGTTTAACTCAGCAGCCTTTATGATCAAATGTCTCTCTTCAGTTAAAAATCCCAAAGATAACATTATCCAGATTCTTTGTGTAATTTCCATTTTTACATGACTTATTATAGCTTTTATATATTATATTTTTTAAGACTTTATTTAATTTTTATGACTATCTGTAGCCTTTCTTTTTTTCTCTCTCAAGCCTAAGTACCTTTTTACACACATTGTAAACCATTTAAAGTTTTGGGGTTTTTTTTCCATCTGAATCTGTCCTACTGTGTATCTGTAGTCATTTTTGATCAGGAAAGATTTTAAACTGTTAAGCTTCATGGCTAGGACAAAAGCAGCTCCACCCCATTCTGCTTTTCAACATGGCACAGGTACCATGAGTCACAATTAACTCCCCAATCCTGGGAAGCAATATAAAGTCTATGTCTGTGTTTCTAAGCCTGTGGCTGTGCTCCCAAGCCTACAGGCAGCAGCTGGGAGAAGCCTCTTTTTATCACGGCCATGCCAGTCAGAGACCATGGGAGTCAGCCATGTTGCCTCTGCAGCTTGCAGTGGTCAGGGGACGCATCTCCATACCATGGTCCTACATGAGACCTGAAGTAGGAAGCTGTTTTGGGCTCTGTTTTAGAATCTCTTGTTAAGTTCTTTCAGGTTTTAGGTGGAAACTCTTGCCAGTATGTCTGACACCAAAATGTAGTCAGAAGTTTCTCCAGTCCCACCCAGTGGTCCCGCCCTGCCCTGCAGTCCTGCAGCCACCTATAAAACAATCACAAAGAGGCTCAATATTAATTGCAAAATCTATGGCCTATTGACTCAGGCTTCTTGCTAGCTAGCTTTTACAACTTAATTCAACCTATAGCTATGCATCTATGTGATGAAACATGTTCTGTGGCTTTACCTATGTTCCGTTACATGTTGCTCCTTGGACAGCGGTTTGGCGTTTCCCCTTACTCTCCTTTCTCCTTTCACTATCTCTCGTAGATTTTCTTGCCTGGCTCCATCCTGCCCTGCCATACGCCAATGCAGCTTTATTTATCAACCAATCAATGCAACATATATTCACAGTGCACAGAAAGATATCCCAGGGGGTCCCCAGTGCCAGAGTGAAAAGCCTAGCTTCAGAATTTGGGGTGGAATTATCTCACTGTGGGGCTCCAAATGTTAATCTTAAGACTCACCAGAGAAAAACCAGTTCCACCATTTGAGTCAAATTTGAAGCAAGCTTTAAATAAATACTGACCAAGATGAACTTTGGTCAGGACCGCTTCCTGGAATTCCCAGCTGAGTGACCCTGAGACACATTTTGCAGGGGCTTATTAGGTCAAACCCATAGGGCATATGTTTGCTATTTCCCGTGAGGTCTTGTTATTTTTCCAAGAACTACAACTTCCAGCATTCCAGGAAGTTACCTGGTGTTTGGGAGGGTGGGGCAATGAGTAGAAAAGCAATCCTCAGAGTACCTTAGTCCATTCCTGTTGATCTAATAAAATGTCACTGGCTTGGGAGTTTGTGATTAGGGTAAATGGATAGTACAGTTACAGAAACTGGACAGTTCAAGAGCAAGTTTCTGGTAGCTATGGTGTCTAGTTAATGACTTTTCCTGCTTTCAAGGAAGGTGCCTTGACAAGATGGGCCCACTGGTGTGACAGTGGCACAACTGTGTGGGGTAATGAACTGCTTCCTGATTAGAGTGAGGCCTGCTCCTTCGGAGGGATCTTCATGCTGGAAACCTGGTCAAAAGCCCGTGACTGCTGAGGTCATAGGCCCTAGGGTAGAAACTATTATTGTTATTTTGCCAAATGGTTATGCTGTCAAATTGATGTCTAAATATGTTTGTATCCACAGACCTAGACTGCTCTCCATTCTAGTCAGAGAAGCTTCTTTTCACAGGGAGCAAAAACAGTCAATCCAAGAGTGACTGTGAGTACTCAACCCTAAATGAGCTATCTTTATCACTGCCCTCACCTTGCCCCTGCCAAGACTCAGAGAACACGGAGGAAGAAAGGGTGGAAAGAAGGCAAGAGCCAGAGGATGAGAAGGAGTGTTGTCCTTTGCACGTGGCATACTGCTGCACCTACAAGCTCGCAGTGGCTGTGGTTATGCATAAGAACAAGTCAGCCAGAACACCAGCTAAAACGGGAGGGAATTTCTGGATGGCTCCCCCTCTAACTGAGCAGCTATTGACGTTGATAACTGCTAGGGGAGGATCATTTGTGGGGGTGTGGCCATGAGTAGGAGGGCCCCTCACTCGTGCACATGTGTACAGCACTAATGGAGCTTAGTAGGTTATTAAAGAAAAAGAAGGGAAGAGAAACAGAGGCATGGGACGGGGGGCGGGGGGGGATCAAGTCGAAGTTGGGAGAAGTAGGTTGGAAGGTAGTCAGGAACAAAATTGGGGTAGATACGATGATATTTCATTATATCTATGTATAAAATTCTCAAAAACATAAAAAATTCAAAAACAGAGTTCCTTGAATGTTGTCTTCTCTCTGGAGTGACTGGACACTGTGCCATCAGGACAGAACTGCAGAAAAGCCAATAGGGCCGAGCTCTCACTAACCCCTCCTCAGGGTGCCGGTTTCACCCTCTGCGGTGAGATTTATGGCCTCCTCGCTTTCTAATGGTGCCAGCAGCATTTAAGGCTGTTGTGCTGAGTTTAACTTTCAACATGACTTTTGGAGGACACACAAACATTCAAATTATAGCATACACATACACAGAGTCCACGTACCGCAAGGCGCTGGAGCCTTCCGCTGCAAAGCCTTTCCGCTGGGTCGCGCTTTGCTCACGGTTGGCTCACCGTTTCCCGTTTGCCCCTGGGCATTTTCCTCTGCCCTTTTCTAACCACACTCAGCTTGTTTTCTGCAAACAGTTAGCGTTTTGGTATGCTGCGGTGTGGATTGAGAGCCCCACCACTTCTGGCAGTGTGAGGGGGTGTAGCAAGTCCCCTTCTAAAGAGATTAGGAGGAGCTTGGAGGCAGCATTGCTTTCTTCCTGGGCCCTGGCTGGAAAGGCAAATCTGCTTTCTCTTTTCTCTTTGTGCTGTTCCTGGGTTTGTGGGGAAAGTGGAGGGGAAAGAGCTTGCCAGAGTGTGTTTCCTGCAACGAAGTTCTCAGATGGAAATCCCACTGGTGATAGGATAAAGTGGTCTGAAAATAAATAAAATAAAATATAAAAGTTCTTGTCCTGGAAAACCAAAAGCTAGTAAAGGCTAGACAGAGTCAAGAGGAAAAAAAGGAGATTCACTTGAGCAGCCAAACATCAACAGTGGTCTCCAATGCCCAGATGAAATCTCAGGGCTTGTTCAGTAGAGCTGGTATAGCATCGGAGTTGGTGGGAATTCTTGGAAATTACTATTTACATCCAGTTGAATAAATGTTCCTAAATGTAATTAAGAATGGCTCACATATTAACTTCATGAATGAACTAAGACAAACACTCATTATCTTGTCTCTCTCAGAGACACTACAAAGCAGTATGCGCACACTGAGAGACTTTGTATTCTTGCTATAGTTACAAGGGACAAAGAAGAGACCAGAGGCCCCCCAGCCTGACTGGGGATGTTCTTCAGTCCCTCTTCCTTTATTCACAGACGCTTTCTGGCCTACTCTTTCCCTCAATTTGTAAATATCTCTTGAAAAAGCTGTGTGGAAAATTAGAGAAGTGTAGCTTCCTGTTAGTTTTAAAAACATTTTTAAATTGAAAGAAAGAAAAAATGTTGTTTCTTTTATAGCCTGTGAGAGGGCCAGACATCTATTATGACAGGCCCCTGATAACTCAGTTAAGAACTAGGCCTTAGTTTCTACACATGCAAGGCCTGGGCCAACTCCTCCCCCAGCTCCCCTCCAGGTAGTAACCAAATAAGGACAAAGCCTGGGACTTTCCCCAAGAATGGAAAAGCTATAGCCATAGCCTACCCCGATAGCCCTAACCAATTAGAAACAGACTGAGACGATTGCCACTTGCATAAGTCAATCGTAGATAAAATGACCTAACTGCCCTAGAAACTCCACTTAGCTGTGTTTACAAGGAGCTTCCATGTTCCTCTCAGGGTATTTGCCATTTTGTACAGGTGAGCAACCCCACATGCATGTGGTATAATAAACACTTTTGCGGATGGCATCATGACTGGGTCTTTTAGGACTTCTCACAGACCCTAACAGTTTGTAGTCTCAAATACATCCCTTCATGGGCCTCCACACAGGTAATGGCATGGGAGACAAGTGTTAGTCAACTGAGAACCACCCTCATTCCAGAATCAGGTGTCATGTCTCCCCCGCAACCCCCCAGCCCCGCCTCACCTTCAGTGACTCAGTCCCAATGACTCTGTCATCACTAATGGCCAATGTGACACATTTCCACTGTCACAGTATTTTCCCTATGTGCATGCTCCATACCCCCCTGTAAAGCCTGTCATTAAGTTGGGGAGAAAGTGTTTATTTGGCTTATACTTTCATATTGCTGTTCATCATCAAAAGAAGTCAGGACAGGAGCTTAAGCAGGGTAGGAACCTGGAGGCAGGAGCTGATGCAGAGGCCATGGTGGGGGGTGGGGGGGTGGGGCGGTGCTGCTTACTGGCTTGCTCCACATGGTTTGCTCAGCCTGCTTTCTTATAGAACACAGGGTCACCAGACCAGGGGTGGCACCACCCTCAATGACAGGACCTTCCCTCATCAACCATTAACTAAGAAAATGCCTTACAGTTGGACCTTATGAAGGCATTTCAATTAAGGTTCCCTCCTTCCAGATACTTCTAGCTTGTGTCAAATTGACATAAGACTAGCCAGCACAGGAACACCCCTGCCTTCTGCACTCAAATTTTACTGCACTGAGGCAGAGAAGGGCCAGCTTAACCACCTCCACTCCTGGAGGAGTAAAGGTACCTGAGCGCCTGGGAGAATGCACCGCATAGGCTAAGCTCTGCACAGGCCTCCCAGTCTCAGGGGTGCTGGGCCTGCAGCCCACACATGAATTCATGGGATCAGGTTCCTGCTTTGAAGGTCTACAGTGAGCCAGCTCTTCCATGGAAACTGGAGAGACTCAACCCAGGTGGCTTTAACCAAACCAGCTTTCATCAGTAGCAAAATGTTCACTTTGATTGGGAAATTTTTGTAATATTGTATGATTGTTTAACTGATTCCAAATACAGAAGAGCATGGGGGAATATTGTTTATTATCTCCCTAAACCTCTACATGTAGCATAACTTCAGCATAGATATAGCTTATTTTACATTAATTTTTCTCAATCCATTGTCTTTAACATTTACCCAACTATCAATTTCCCAACGCTATATTATGAGAAACTTTGGCTGCATCCTAATTCTAGCCTGTCTTTCTCAACATAATAACCTTCAAAATCCATGTTATACACAGGTCATTAATGTTAACAATACTGACACCCACTACTCATAACCACACTATTGGCATATTATATTATTTTATTCTCAGAGCAGTCTAATGGCATAACCACCATTTGTTCCTTCTGTATTAAAGAGGACTCTGAGGCCCAAGGGTGTGGTTCCAATGATGTAGTATGATGCTAGATTTCCATGTTAATTAAAACCCATCACCCTGGCTTGTGACTTGGAGATGTTAATTTGCTCTTCTGGCTTTGATTTCTGTGAAGTAGTGTCTTAGTGTTCTATTGCTGGGAACAGCAACTCCTATGAAGGAAAATGTTTAATTGGGGCTGGCTTACTCTATCAGAGGTTTAGTTCATTATCATCATGGCCAGAAGCATGGCGGCACGTAGGCAGATATGGTGCTGGAGAAGGAGCTTGACAGTTCTACATCCAGATCTGGAGGCAGCAGGAAGACAGATGTAGATGAAATTCTAAACGGTCTTATTAAATAAGAAACAGAGCCAAATACAGAGTTAAAGCCAAAGAGATCAGAGCAAGAGCCACGACTACCTTATCTGACCACCTCGCTACCATCGCTTCCCCCAGGAAAGATACCCTCTTCCTGTGTGACTTGTTTTTTTATTGCCTTTCTGTTCTGCCTTCTCATTGGCTCTAAACCCAACCACATGACTTCCTCGTCACTACCTGTCTGTACAGACCTCCAGGTCTCTATGGTTGGTACTGGGATTAAAGGTTTGGGTCACCATGCTTGGCTGTGTCCTTGAGCACACAGAGACTCTGCCTGCCATGTGATCGAATTAAGGGTGTGTGCCATCACCGCTGGACTTCTGCTTAATGGCTCGCTTTTACCTCTGATCTCCAGGCAACTTTATTTATTAACATACAAATAAAATCACATTTCAGCACAAATAAAATATCACCATAGACAGAGACACAGAGCTTTGCTTGCTTGAGCATTTGAAACCTCGAAGCCCACTCCCAGTGACATACTTCCTCCAACAAGGCCACACCTACTCCATAAGGCCACAGGCCCTAATCCTCCCAAATAGTGCCACTCCCTATGGGCCTATGGGGGCCATTTTCACTCAAACCACCACAAGTGGGGATAAAATATCTGATGCATAGAGTTGTATCAAGGGCAAAAAGAAAAACTTGTCTAGGATCTACATACACTTGGCAGGTAGTAGGTAAGTGTCCATAAACCAGGGTTTTCATGCCTATCTGCATCTTAGACTCTCTTAGGGCACTCTTTAAAAGTACCAGAGTTCAGGAACTGTGGCCTCACCCTTCAGGGGGCGCTACTCACATTGTTTTCCTGTTGTAATGTGCTCCCCAGGTTGTGCAAGCCAATAGAGCTGCCCTTCCATGGGTAAGGAAAACAGAACACACAGCAGACCCTAGTCACAAAGCCAGTAAGTGCCTCCCAAGCATGGGGCTGTTCAGCCAGCTTCCAAAAGACAAGGGGCTTGTTTCTATGGAAGTCACTGTCATATACTATAGGTCTATAGGTGTTTGAGACCCGGATAAACAACAGTGAGGAGTGAGTGCCCAGCAGAGACTTCCTGCAGGAGCCAGTGACTTAGAGAGCCAGGGCAGATAGCCAATCTAGCTGTAGATGCCAAGCTGCTGCTGCCTGTGTGTGGTAACTGCTTCTTCACAATTATACTTAGCTTGTATTACATCACAGACCCAACCAGACATTAAAACACAGCATCTGGGTCCAACGAAGCAAATATAAGAGAAGATATGAAAAGGATGTGTCAGGAACCAGGCTGCTTCCAGATTCTCATTTGCACTGACAGCAGATACCAGCGCCCAGATTAATGCCCCGCTACCCTTTGCGTCCCGTACCCTGTATGTAAGTACCATGTAAGTACATGGTCGCACAGGCTGATATCATGGGTCTCTGGCCATAGATTCTTGGGTACACTGACATGTGAGCAGCTAATACCCCTGAACAAGTGAGACACCTCTAAGAGGGATCCTTAGTTTCTGGGCCTCACCCACAGTTTCTAATTCCTTATACGATGAGCATACTCCCAAATGATACTGATGCTGTTTACCTGAGGACTACACACTTAGAAACTTTGATTTCCAACATCAAGGAGCTCCGTAGATGCTACAGGGAACCCAAATCTAAGACACAGCGTGGGGACAAACAGAGGAGGGTGGGGGGCAGTGAGGAGTGAAGGGGCCATTACTATTTGTATAGAAATGGGTTGATACACTTGTGGGTTGTGTGTGCAGACATTATTTCTGGAAAGTTACAAAGAAAAGGCTGATAGTTCCCTCAGGGATCTGGGTTGAGAGCTCAACACTTCTACAGGTGGTTGTTCTGAGGGTCCCACCCAACCCCAGTACTCCTCCTCCCGTTTCTGTATCCGCCATGGAAGACACAGTCAACCTCACCTACCCTGATGGTTGACTTCTTGAGTCTGGCCAGTGGGAGTCCCAGCAAGCGATCCCACAGTAAGGAGAAAGACTGGATTTCCTTCCTGGCTCCCTCCTTCGGTGCTGTGCCTCTAGCAATAGGCAAATTTGTCTCAGTCCAGCTCCTTTCCAATCAAACTGGACCACAACACTTCCTTCTTCAGGCTGTTGGCTAGTGTCTGGATCCTCCATGTCCCTTGTCTCTCCATTAACCCTGTGCACACTACTGGAAACAGTCCTTTCATTAAAGTCTCTTAATTTAAACCTTCTGGAGGCATTTTTTTTCTCTCCCAAGATCCTAGCTGAGAGGTCAGTGCCTTTTTGTACCATTT